AAGCCGGCCGGGGTTACAACCAAATTGTGATGAAGCCGTCTTGCGAAATTTAATTAAATTGTTTTGGATGTCAATAGTTGATTGGGCAAAATTGCTGTAACGTAAAATGTCGCATATCGTTACGAAAATGCAAACGTGCGTTTCAGCACTCGGCAACCAGCGCAATGGATTCAGGAGGGGGGTTAACCCCGAGAACCCTCCCACCGAGGACATGAAGATTAGCGACATACTACAATGCATAAATCCAATTACAATACTACAATTTCCGGACGAGGAAGAGCCTTCTCAAATGCTTTCCTAATGCAGTCTTCGGTGATCATGTCCCACGCCTTTATGGAGCGCTTTATCATTGCAAGGATTGCAAGGATTGCAAGGCGCTTTTCGGCAGCGGTAACCACTGGCTCCTCCTCAAGCCACAACATTCTCATAATGCGCTTGAACGCACCCATAACCCCGACATCTAGCGGTTGACAGACACTTGTGCAGTGGTTCCAGCACGCTGAACACCTCCTCTGCAACAGCTTGAATTGACTCAGGGGTCACATGGCCGTCAAAATTGTCCACCAAATGGACACTTGGCCCGCCAATATGCGTCGGAAGCATGTCAAGGAACGTTCGCCAAACTCGGCCATCCATCCAACCCTTCTCCTGCACCTCGTATAGGTGGCCTTCAGGGTAGGTGGCGATCGTCCCGCCAGGAACCCCATGCACGACGAACAGAATTGAAAGCTTACTACCTAGTACAGTAAGTAGAAGTCAGTGCAGTTAGCAGAAGTCGGTTAATTTCTCGAACCGTCCGCACGACATGTCAGAAGGGCTGTAATCCGGTCGGAATGCTTTTGGGAGACGTCCACTTTAGCTGACTTGCCGATCTCAGCCCAGATCTTTCCAGGCGGCATATCGTAGTTGACGGCAGTCTCGTCAGCATTGAGAATGTCCGCCAGGGGTCGTTCGTTGTACTTGTTCCAGAACGTGGCTGAAAACTCGTCACGGATGCGTGTCATTTCGAGCTCGGCGAGCTTCGTGTGCGTGGGTACGCGCTGGCTGAAGTTGTATCGTTTTGCAAAGCCTTGGCACAGCCGCAGAAGAGACTTGTAGGGATCCGGCTTGGCTGCGGTGTAGGTTCGGAGCCAGTCCTTGTAATGCAGCTTCATGAACGTTATCATGTGCATGCTGGTCAAGATGTGCTCTTCCCGTCTGACGTCCTTCATGAACGTCAGGAGGTCATGGTGAAACGGGATGATTGACTTGGCTCCTTGTCCACCAAGGGTCGTGAGCTTTTTGTAGCATTTAGTATCCGTAAGCTCTGTGTGCTGACGGTGCCACGCCCACAGTGTGGCCCGTGGAATTCCATTCAGTACACAGAACTTACAGGCACTAAAACATCTGTCCTTGAATTGGGCTAGCAGCAACCGCTTCTCCCCAATGGTGTATGACTGTTGTCGTTGCGTTGGCATTGAATTGGCGAAGATGTCGAGTTTGAATTTTGAAATCCTCAAACATGGTGTGTCGTGATTGGCTCAGTCGAAATTAATTCAGTTTGGGAAGTAGGCAAATTTTCAATTAAAATAGATCGATTTATGGAGATGGCCAAGTTTTTTGGGGGGCCGGCTTTCTCCCCGGTTCATTGTACGACACTACTGGTGTACGAGCTCATGATGGTGTGTAGGTGATAAGCTGCCAATTCTCTTCGTCCTGAAGGGAAAGCCGGGTGGTGATATCGAACGCAAGGAGATTCCCACGTTTCCTTCGCTTCATCTGTACTTGGTCCAAGAAAACGCTTGGGTGGACAAGGAAGTCTGGAACATTTACCTCAACGACCTTCTCTAGTTCGAGATTCAAGGCCCATCGGTCATTCTTGGTCATTCTTGCTGACAACCTGGACTGTCATGTGTCGCAGGAATCACACGACACTATTGCGTCTGAACTGTTTAGTGTGCTTGAACTTTGCCGACGAATTCGACCAGCGTGTGTCAGCCACTTGACGTCGGAGTCATGGGGCCTCTCAAGGCAAGTTGCGTTCATTGTGGCTGCATGAGACTCCTGTCGTGACGGCAGCTGAAAAGCGACTTGCCATGATCAAGCGGACCATTGCTGCGTGGGATGCAATGCCCTGTAGTGTTGCTAGTCGCGCATTCGAAAAGGCGATCCCAAATACTAGTATCGTCTCATTGTAGGTTGGTAATTTAGATTTCTTGAATTCGTCGTCGTCGTGTGTCAAAAGGGTCGAATAATGGCTTGATTTTATCCAATCAGTGCATCAGACCAGGGTAGCATTTGAATTAAATTTCGCCAATTTATAATATGTCTTGAAGCAACGTCCAATACAAATTTCAAGTCTATTTTTTGTATCACGGGGCCACTTATTCCGTCGTTATCTCTAGTCGAGTGTATCCGCGGGAATGTCGATGAAAAGTACAGGAGGTTGCACCTGCCAGACTACCTATGATAGACATTGGCGTCCTCAAAAGCATATTTTGACTATTCAGTTTTTGACCGAATATATTATCTTGATTAAAGTATGCTGGATTATATTGACCTCAATTTTTATCTTGATTAAACTATGCAAGATTATCTTGACCTTGATTTTATCTTGATTAAACTATGTGACATTATTTTAGGCTATATTAGGCTTCGGACAGTCAATTAATCTCGTGGGGCTGGTATAGCTTACACTGTACCATGGTACTATCGTAAATCCTACCAGTACAATCTACTTTGAAAGCTTGCTTCTATGATATAGCGCGTTCAATCGTCTATAACGTTAACATCATACTAGTGGTTCAACGTTCGCCCAAATCGTCTTATTTGTTGAGAAAGCGTAAAAAATCTAAGGGGTCGATATTTCGGGCCATCTACTGGTTTCTTACGTTAGTTGGAATCTTGGTCACACAAAGTCGTAACAGCAAAATGGTTGCGGTCGACTAGAGTTTGTACAAAGTATCGAATTATTCGGGGTATGATGACTTTTGACACTCGCTGTACTAGTATTACTGTAGTGTGGACCACGCTATGTCTCAATCCACACAAACGTTAATTAATAAGGGCTTGAAGAATTACAGTCACCGAGGGAGTGGTTCGCCTGTGTGGTACTTCGAGTTTTCTGCTCATGCTTGTGAATGATTGGCCGCCATACTTCGAAGTACGACTAAGTTTACAGCCAATGAAAGTGACTGGTGTGTATTTTTATTCGCAGCTCAAATAATAATTTGTTGTTTTGACAGGTTATGAAAAACGAGCGCACTCCACTGCAAGGTGTGAAAGAATTTCTGCATTTGGTTAAGCAGGGCATAAATTCTTAAAAACTTAAGAATATATTACGATGGATACCAAAGAACTAGGTTAAAGATAAGCGTTTGAGGCGGTTGGCGCAATGATTAGTGCGACGGCATCCAAGTAGATTGAGGAAGGGGACCGGGGTTCGAGCCCCAGTCAGTGTCGAACTTTTTCCATCTTTATTTAAATATAGATATTTTATAAAAATATGTACAAATTCCAATACAATCCTTTTCAAACCTATATTAATTTCAAAATTAAAAAAAATGACAAAGAGTGGCTGTCGTTTAAGCACTTGGAATTGCTTTGGCAAAGCTCTCGCGGATGACGTCTTCACTGACTTTCTCCCACGCCCGGATCGCCCTGTTGATCATTGCGAGACGCTTTTGCGCAGCACAAGGTGAGTCAAACTCGTCTCCATCCTCACCATTGATGATTTCCTCGGCCAACCACTCGTCACGCAGGAAGCGTTTGAACGGCGCCATGACCCCTACGTCCAATGGCTGGCACGTGGACGTGGCGTTTGGAGGTAATGGAACCAACAGACAGCTGAGCTCATCTTCAACGATACTGTAGGACTCATCACTCACGTGAGACTCGAAGTTGTCGACCAAGATGACAGACGGCGCCTCAACACAAGGCAGCAGCAAGGTGCGCAGGTACAGTCTCCACACATTGTTGTCCATCCAGGCCTTTTGCTGAACAGCGTATACGTGGCCAGCAGGGTAAGTCGGAAGCTCGTGCGTCTCGATGCGGCCACCTGGAAGTCCCCGCACGACAAAGAGAAGCGGCAACTTGGATCCATCGGCACGGTAAGGGCCACAGTCATCCGGAGGGAGTGCTTTTCCCCAGAGGACACCTTGGCATCACCTCCGCGGATCGACCAGATGTACTTGGGAGGCATGTCGTAATAGAATCCAGTTTCATCGACGTTGTAGACGCTGTCATCGTGGAAGGCGCTGTACAAGCGATGGAACTCCCCGGCAAACTCGTCGCGGACGTCAGATAGTGCAGCGTGCGACTTCTTGCGGTGGCCGGCGCGTTGACGACTGTAACCATAGCGGCGGCAGAACTGCTGAAGGAGACGGAGCAGGCTTTGGTAGCCAGTGCCAGCTTGCTTGTCAATAAGATAGAGCCGAAGCCACTGACTCTGGTAGCGCTTAATCCAGTTGATAATGTGAGTTGTTGTCAATGCTCGTTCACGAACTCGCATTTCGACGATAAAGTCGACCAATCCCTCGGGGTCAGGGAACATCTCGCGGCGCCCACCAGGGCTGACTTTCATTCGCTTCTTGTTCCCTTGGAAGGCGGTGATTTCATCGCGCTGGTCAAACCAAGAACGTATGGTGCGC